CTCTCTCTCTCCTTCTCCCCTTACCTTCCATAACCCACTAAATAAATATCCAACCTCACTCTGCATGGCATGCCTATCCATGTCTCTGTTTCTTATACCGTGTGGCTCCCTACCCAGGATCAGCCACCTTTGGAGACCTGTGGCATGGTCTCATGGTGTGCCTATCTGTATGTCTCTCTTCGTGGGACTCACTGCCCCTTGTGGCTCACTGCAGCCACTTGGGAACTGGGCCATCCCTGCCTGGGACTGGCTGCTCTCAGACTGGCTGTCCACTGCCACCACTTGGGAACCTGCAGCATTTCTGCTGCAGCAGCCACTCAGGGATCCACAGCATTTTACTTAATTCATTCCAACAAGTGCTCTTAATTGTGGAACCATCTTTCTGTCCCCGCCTGCCTGCTTGTCTGTCTGTCTGTTTTGAGATAGGCTCTTAGGTAGTCTGGACTCTCCCTGAGTTACTAATTCTTGTATTCCCACCTCTAAGATGCTGGAATTACATCTATCACTACATCTAGGAGCAACTTTATTGAATAAACAAATCAATAAATGGCTTTCTAATTAGAATCAGTAAATAAAGCTTTCTCTTTGAGAAACCTCAGTGGTTGATATGAAAGATTACTGATCTCAGAGTTCTTTTGAGTCATTTTGATTTGTGTTTCTCCCATGACTAAGGACATTGCTCAGTTTCTTAAGTTCGTTCCACTGTTTGAGATTCTTCTGGTAAGAGTTCTCTGTTTAGATCTGTACCGCATTCTTTAATTGGATTATATGGTATTTTGATCATCTAGTTTCTTGAGCTCTTTATATATTTTGTAGATCAGCACTCTGTCTAATTTGTGGTTGGTGAAGATCTTTTCCCATTCTGTAGGCTGTCTTTTTGTCTTATTGACTGTATCCTTTGCTTTACAGAAGCTTCTCAGTTTCAGGAGGTCTCAATTGTTTATTGTTACTCCCAAGAGTCTGTGCTACTGGCATTATATTTAGGGAGTGGTCTCTTGTGCCCATTTATTGAAGGCTACTTCTTCCCACTTTCTCTTCTATCAGGTTCAGGGTGGTTGAATTTATACTGAGGTCTTTGATCCATTTGGGCTTGAGTGTTGTGCATAGGAATAGATGTGTATTTGTATTCTTCTACATGTTGACATCCAGTTATGCCAACACCATTTGTTGAAGATGCTTTCTTTTTTCTATTGCATAGTTTTGGCTTCTTTGTCAAAAATCAGGTGTTCATAGGTGTGGATTTATGTCAAGGTCTTCAATTCAATTCCATTGATTCACATGTTTGTTTTTTATGCCAATACCAAGCTGTTTTATTATTGTTGTTGTTATTATTTTAGCTCTGTAGTAGAGTTTGCAGTCAGGAATGGTGATACCTCCAGAAGTTTCTTTATTGTACAGGATTGTTTTAGCTATCCTGGACTTTTTTTGTTTTGTTTTGTTTTTTCATATGAAGTTGAAGATAGTTCTTTTGAGGTCTGTGAAGATTTGTGTTGGGCTTTTGATGGGGATTGCACTGAATCTGTGGATTGCTTTTGGCAAGTTTGTTATTTTTATTATGCTGATCCTACCTATCCAAGAGCCTGAGAGATTTTCCCATTTTCTGATATCTTCAAGACCAAAACACTAATGACAGCCTATGTTGGAGAGGAGGTGGATTAAGGGGAACACTCCTCTACTGTTGGTGGGAATGAAGTCTTGTACAGACATTTTGGAAATCAGCATTATAGTTTCTCAGAAAGTTGGGAATCAATCTACCTCAAGAAAGGATGCTCAATTATACCATAAGGATACTTCCTCAGCTATGTTTATTTATAGCAGCATTATTTGTAATAGCCAGAACCTGGAAACAACCTAGATGCCCCTCAATCAAAGAATGGATGAAGAAAATATGGTGCATTTACACAGTGGAGTATTACTCAGCTATAAAAAACAATGACATAATGAAATTTGCAGGCAACTGGATGGAACTAGAAAAACTCATCCTGAGTGAGATAACCCAAACCCAAAAAGACAAACATGGTATGTACTTACTCATAAGTGAGTACTAGATGTTAAAGCAAAGGACAACCAGACCACAATCCACAGCTCCAGAGAAGCTAGATAACAAGGAGGACTCTAAGAGGGTCACACAGATCGCTCTGGGAAGAGGAAATAGATGAGATCTCCTGGGTAAACTGGGGGTAAGGAGCAGAAAAGAGGAAGAAATGGGCCCTGGGAACATGAGGGAATGGGATGGCCTAGTTGGGGGAGGGATGGAGTGGGAGCGCAATGAAAGAGATTATCTAGATAGAGGGAGCCATTATGGGACTAAGGATAAACCTGGTACTAGGGAAATTTCCAGGAATCCACAAGGATGACCCCAGCTAAGACTCCTAGCAGTAGTGTAAAGGGTGTCTGAACTGGTCTTCCCCTGTAATCACATTGGTGACTAACTGTCATTCATAGAACCTTCCTCTGGTAACTGATGGAAGCAGATGCAGAGATCCACAGCCAAGACTCAGCTCCAGGAGTCCAGATGAAGTGAGGGAGGGGGGATTATATAAGCAAGGGTGGTGGGTCAAGAGCACGATGGGGAAACCCACAAAGACAGCTGACCCGAACTTGTGAGAAATCACTGACTCCAACCTAGGGAGCCTGCATGGGTCTGAACTAGGCCCACTGCATGTGGATGGCAGTTATGTGGCCTGGTCTGTTTGTGGAACCCCTGGCAGTGGGACCAGGATCTATCTCTGGTGCATGAGCTGGCGTTTTGGAGCCCATTCCATATGGTGGGATGCCTTGCTCAGTTGCGGTGCAGGACGGAAAGAGTCTTAGTCCTGTTTCAATTGAATGTGCCAGACTTTCTTGACTCCTAATGAGAGATCATACCCTTTCTAAAGAGTGGTTTGGGGGTGCTGTGGGGGAAGTTGAGGTGGGAGTGAAAGGAGGGTAGGTAGGGGGAACTGTGGTTGGTATGTAAAATGATTTTAAAAAATTTTAATAAAAGATTACTTAGTCAAGACAGAGTAAAGTCTTGGTATTGGCTGACCCTGTTCTGTTTGTTGACAACCTATGAGGAAAGAACTGAAGTGATAAACCTTGCTGTGGGATGGATCCTTTGCTTATAAATACCTGGTTTCTGGAGTCCAAATCAAATTCCCTAGCCTAGGTGATAAATGGATAGCAGTAACATGCTCAAATATCATCTTACCTAGGCATTATAAACACATTACAACAAAGCAGCCCTCTGAGTTGACTCAGGTTCCCAGGAATCCTGCAGTACTTAGAAACATCCTGGTTGTGTCCTGCTGGGTTGAAAAAGACGATCCTAGAAACCTTGTCTCCTCCCCTGTGAGATGCCTTGAAAGCCAGTCATCTTGAAGGATGCTGACATTGCAGACTCTGGTCGATCAGTGCCTTGCTGACCAGCTCAAGAACAAAGAGCCCCAGCTTCAAATTGTTAAACTTGATAATGGTGAAAAAGATACATATTCAACAGAAGCTATACTTTTAATTTATTTATTCATTTTGTGTGCCTGCATGTGCATGTGTACATTTGGAAGTCAGAGGCCACCATGGGTTTGGTCCTTGACTGCTTTCTACCCTTTTGTGCTATGTATCTCTCTCTATCTAGCCTAACCTATTCAGTGAGCCCCAGAGGATCTACCCATCTCTTCTTCAATAGTGCTGGGATTCCAAATGTGTGTCTCCATGCCTGGCTTTTTAAAAATGTGGGTTCTGGGTTTGAACTCAGGTCCTCGTGCTTCTAGAACAACCACTTGTCCAACTGAGCTGTTTCTCTCCATCCCCAGAAATTGTATTTTAATTTTGACTTTGGGTTTTTTCCTAAGATAATGATATACAGTCAAGTCCTTTTGGTGAGGCTGGACAGTACCATCAGCCCCACCATCACAAGGAAAACAGTCACTACAGTATGCTGAGTTATAAGCACTTGTAAGCCACTAATGTGGGTGCTAGAAATAAAGCTTGGTCTTTGGTCTTTTATAAGAGCACTAAGTGCTCGTAACTGCTGAGCCATTTCTTAACTGCCTACTGTATTTTGAAGCTATTATATTGGGTTGCTTCCTTCTGACAATATCCAACATAGGATATCTTAAATTTATAATAATTTTAATAATGATGAATTTATTAGGATATAGCCCATTTGTTGTAAATGGAGGAGTGTATATTTGATCAGGGTCTCTGGAAATGACCTGGCCTGACACTGTCTGCACAGTGCCTGCTCTCTGTTGACCCACTGTGTGTCCCTATGTTTGGTAGAAACACACAGTGAACAGTGTTTGGTCCCTTGTCATGTTTCAGTTCAGATAACTTGATGCCTCTTGGTAGGAAACCTGGCTGATACATCTCTTGCCACCATTGTGATTCTGTGTCTAGAAACTCCACAGAAACACTGCCTCTTGACAGGCTGAGGACCATCTGTTGACCTCAGTTATCTTACAGAGGAGTGGGGAAGACTCTAGTTATCATTTCAAGAGAAATCCTGGGGTTCTGAGATGCTGCAGTAGTTGATAGGAACAATTAAAAGGAACAGCTTGAACAAATAGCTTAGATAGTTGGTTAATTCTGCCATTCATTCACTAACATTAAGCCTCTGCTCTTTAACAAGCCCCATTCTAAGCAATGGTGGTTTATTTATGTCAGTCTAGATAGGAAACACAATGACAACAGTGAACATACATGTGTACATGCATGTACATATGTAAACAAATGAGGGTGACATCAGAGAGTAATCTGAAATGAATAGGTGTGACAGAGAGAGGCTGAGTGGTCCAGGAATGCATCTTCAAAGAATCACATTTAACTAGGGCCTGGGTTGTAAGGAAAAGCCTCTAGCCGGTGCAGAGGGCTAATGATCCTCCTCACAAGGCTGGGAGAGGTCCAGGAGCATCCTGAGGGAAGGGAAAGTGTAGTTGGTTGGCATCAGGGCAGTTGCATCCTGTCCCAACTGTGTGCTACTGTGCCCTTGCCTGGGCTAACACTTGTGTTTTCTTCTACAGACGACTTTGTAGAAGAAGAGGAGGTGCAGTCCTTCGGTTACAAGAGGTTTGGTGAGTCCTGACAAAGCTTGGTTCCTTTCCCTCACTCGGTATAGAACTCAATAACGGACTCTTAGTGACGGTAACGTAATAGACTTTGACACAGGTAAACATTTGGGACTTCGAAGTCCCATTGTGGTGGAAAATTGAGCTTCTATGTGACAGGTGGATGTACAAGTCTGAGGGTGTGTGGAACAAGAGCTGCATCCAAGCAAAGGGAAGCGATGTGGTATTTATGTGTCTGCTGAATACAGACAGCTCAGCTGCCAATCTATTGGGAAAGGGAAATATGTGGCCAGCAAGGAGCAGAGCCCTTGGAAAGTCCCTCTGCTGTATTCACATCAGTTTCTCTGTGTCTTGCCTGTTCCTAGGTCTTATGCTTATAAATTTAGTATCAGATGAATGGGAGGGAGACTTCTTCCAGGGACCTCACTGTGTGTGTGCACTATGGAAATAGTGGCCTGCAAAGGTATCTGCGTCTGCACTCCTGGAACCTGAATGGTTACATGGCAAAAAAGACAAGCCACTACTGGACCGAAGAGTTTGGAATGGGGAGATTATATTGAGTTACTACTGGGCCTTAACTGCCACAACGTGTCCTTATGATAAAATTTGACACAAGAGAGGTGTGTCCCACTGACTGAAGCAGGATTGGGAGGGTGCTTAAGTCAAGGAATTCTGGTAGCTTCTAGATGCTTAAGAAGGCAAGGAAATGATTTCTTCCCCCAGGGCCTCCAGAGTGAGAACAGTTTATTTGAGGCAGCTGAAGCTGACTTCAGAATTTGACTTCCAGGACTGTAAGAGAAGAAATGTGTGGCCGTCAAGCCTCCTTGTTTGTGTCGTCTGTTACAGAGCCACAGGGAATTACCACTCACCCGCTGTCTCTGCACTGCTGCACTGTGATCTATGCTCTTGTTACAGAGCTTGAGTTTGAGGGTCTCTGCCTCAAGCCATGTCCAGCCACCTGTTCTCAATAAGCCAATTAAAAAGAGTCAAACTAAAAGGAAAAAGGAGAAAAATATCTATTCAGTGTAGCCACTTTGGGGTCAAAAAGATATAGAGAATCCTCAAACCCCTTAAGTCCTCCTCCAGTGTCATGATGTGAGATCAAACTTTAATAGAAGGCCAAGGATATGTGCATCTAAGTAGTTCCAGCTAAAATGTGGTCCCACCCACCTGCCCATTATCCCATGAGCTTCTGTCTCATCCTGTAAGGTGATCTGACAAGTTGTTAGAACCATGTGAAGTCTCTTCCTTCTCCCAGCCTGAGATTCCTGGGTGAATTCCCATTTCTTTGGGCTTCATTATCTTAGTAATCTGATAATTGCATTCAGAGAGACAGACAGACAGGCAGGCTGGCAGAAAGACACAGAGGCACAGTGTGTCCTTAGATATCTTTATTTCTGCCAGGCCTGTTACAGTCCCCCACTTTCTGTTTTAGCACTTCCATCTTAAGGTGGACTGTGTCTATGCCTGCAACAATATAATAAACAAAATGCAAATAGAAACCAAGGTCAGAACATGTTTAGTTAGTGCCAGGTGCCCATGCGTAAGAACCAGTTTTCATGACCTCTTGGCTTTTAGGAGACTGACACAGGCAACTCCATCTTGTCAGTATGATACAGGATTTCTCCGTGAAGCTTAGACTGGTCTCAAACTGAAATCCTGCTTCTGCATCCCAAGTGCTGAGTTTTCACACAAGCTCTGCTTTATCCAGCACAACTTCATTTAGATTTGCCAGAACCGCAAGGGAAGAAATGTGTGATGTGAGCAGTACTCTGTTCCAGCAGCCACAGGGAACTAACATTCACCCCCCCCCCACACACACACACACCTCCTCAGCTCCACATGGACCCAGCTTCTCAGGCTCTTCAGTGTATCTGAAAACCATCAGTAAAGCATTGCTGTTCCAACCACAGTTCAAGGGAATGAAGGGAACAGCTTGTTTTTGTGCCTTGGTCCTAAAAAATAGAGAAGGATGGATGGGGTGGAGGGGGAGAATATGAATATAAAGAGCCTAAATCTACTTCCTATTACTTGAAACATCTTGACTGGACTTTGGTTAAAGTTAACAGTCCCCAGCTGCTTTGGCTCCATAATTGTTGTAGCATTTTTTTTTTTTTTTTCTGTCTGGAACCAACATTTCTGTGTTTCTTTTTGGGGAAAGAAATGGGGCTTTACTATAGTTATTCAGCCACATGAGGCCCATAATTTTCAACTCAGGCTTTGTCAGAGCAACCTGAATCCCAGCTTTCCCTACCTCCTCCGCATAGCAACAGATTTCTGGGTCCATACTGCGTGTTACTCTGATTCCCTTTGGAGAGAGTCACTAAGAAGAATGGTAATGGAATTGAAGATGAAACTGAGAATTACAAAGGGACACAAAAACACATGGACTAGAAAACACTGGAAAATAAATATTGGAATGGCTGTATATTTTGGAAATCAGTAGTCGTGTAAAGAACTGAAAGGTATTTTTAGATGATCTCTTATAACCCAGGCTGTCCTCAAACTTGCCATATAGCCTAGTACATCCTCTTGCCTCAGTTTAACAAGTGTTGGGGTTAACACGTGTCTGCCAACATGGCTGACTGAGGAAACATTTATTTAAAAGCAGTGACCAAATTGGGAGTATACCTGTTGCATACCTGTAATTCTAATAGTTCCCGAGGATGAGCCAGAAGTTCATGGCCTGCCTGGACAGCTTAGTAAGACCTTGCCTCTGTGTATAAAACCTGAAAAAGGTGTGTCAGAGCGCTTGACTAGCAGCGTGAAGACCTGGGTTCATTCCCTCATTCTACAGAATAGATACATTAAATAAACAGCCAAAAATGAAGGTTACAGAATCAAAAGGGTGACACAGAAAACATTCAGTTAATTTTATGACTGCATTATTAGTTCAGTGGGTGGGGAGCTGGTGCAAAAATAAAAATTAGCACATTTTGAAAAAGATTTTAATTTATGGGGCTAAATTATACATGGGGATTGCCAACTGGTGACTCAGAGTCTCCTCATGTAATAATGAACTGATAACTGTCCAGAGAGCATAAACAGAGAAGGAAGAGAATGAATGCTACCAAGCATCTCAGAAAATTAGGCTGATGCAATTCTGAAAACCCTTGGGGTTCCTGAGCCTGGCATGGTGGCACACGTATATTATCCCAGTGCTGGGGAGGTGGAGGCAGGAGAACCAGGAGCTCAAGGTCGTCCTCAGCTACATACTGAGTTTCAGGCCTGTTTCATAAGACCCTATCTCAAAACCCATCAACTAACAAAAGGAAAAGGAAGAGAATTCTGCTGGAGGGAGGCTGGACTGTGTTTCTAAGCAGAGATTCCTTCTTTCACAGGGCTGCAGATGCGGGAGGTGAGATGTAGGTAGAATGAGTTCCTGGTCAAGTGAGTTAACTGGATCTGGGGTTAGAAGATAAGCTCTCTACTTGATTAGTGTCTGGGGATAGGCTCTTACATTAGGTTGAGGTGACCTTTCAACTTCTGTGCCTGGGAAGGGCACCCTTAGCTCAGAACCAAAATGTGGGCCTAACATCACTATCTAGGCCTACTGGGGAGGCCTAGGTGCTTTTATAGGGCCTAGCACTCTGGCCAAATTCTTAAGGTCAGTAGGTTTTCAGCCAGTTCCTGACTCAGAGCCACAGAGCCTATTCCTTCAGGTGTGAGCAAGCCTGAGCATCCCCTTTCCAGTCAGTCGTTGGTGGTCTAAAAAGTAGACGGTGTGTATAGGTGGAACAGTGTGATAGGCCCTGCCCCTGCTGACTCTCCTTACTGGGAATCAGTTGGTGACACTTATGAGCCTCACCATCCACCCTTATTCCATAAGCTGTTGACGCCAGCAAGGTAGAACATCTAACATGCTGGACTTTGGTGCAATGAGCAGGGTCCTAGGTAGAAAGGGGCTGGGTAGGCACTGTGTTGTAAAAACAGGAGCTGTACTATCACCTACTAGAGATTTGGGGCCGCAGACTCTTGGCATTTGTGTATATAGTCACTTCAGAATATCCAAGTGTGAATCCTCATTCCTAAGGAGTTGGGAAAGGTATGACTTGCCTCTAAACATGGCTGTTGTGTTGGCTTTTATCTTTGCAAAAGGAAGCTGAATACTATAGGAGTTATGTTATTGTTTAATTTTAGAGATGTTTTATATATACAAATAGAATAAAAACAACTTGAATTTGACAGGCAGATGAGCCAGGGTTAATTATCCTTAGAACAAAGGGGCCATTGTTAGAGCAAATCATCACTGAGTAGGCTTTTCCTAAGTACTCCATCATAGTTATTCAGAATCATTTGCTGTACAAGGTCAAGGTTATTTATACCATAATATTGGTCATTTTCCAGATTCAGCACAGATTATAATAAGGAAGAAAATGTCTGATCTAGTATATACTATATTAATTTTTTATAGTCATTTATTTTTCATTTAGAGTCTAATTATTACATTTTAGGCTCAACTAGGTCTGTTTTCCTTTATGTATGTCTAAGTCGTTTAACCCCATTCTGAGAGTTCTGAAAGGTGTCTAAAAATGAGACCGGTGAAGCCTGATGATTGTGCCACTAATTTGTTCCACAACATAAACTTTCAACAAGGGGAATCTTTGAAGAGTTAATGAAATGGACATTCTCAGATTTTAATCAGGCTTTGTGGGTCAACATCTCTTGGCCTCAGTCTGCAAAGCTAATTGAGGTGTAACTATGGTTACAACTTGACAGAGGGCCTTTCTTGAGACATGAGGTACCAATCTATTGTTGTGCATATGTGCCTGCATGCGGTGTAAAGTATGGTGTGTGCAGTAGTCATGTGTGTACACAGTCTCATTGTATAGTCCAGGTTGGGGCTCTTCCTGTCTTGGTCTCCTATTTGTGGCATTACAGGAATACATTGTTACTTCTGGGTCTATTTTTATTTTCTTTGCATAGAATATGCTATTTCATCTAAAGATACCTTTTTATTTATTTCATAGTCTCTATTGTTGACCGGGGTTATTTGTCCCACCCGA